CATCAAATTGATGAACATTCAAAAATTTACATATCAAGCAATAAGCAAATGAAGTTGACATCCTTGAAAATTTTTATCGTTTAATTTACTTTTCCCCATGAGAACTACATATACTGCACTAATCTGCAATCAGAAGGACCAAGTCCAAAATGATGGTTTGTATACAGTACAAAGTTATGTGAAAATTATTTATATAAATAATTAATAATACTTGCATCTCTTTTACAAAAAGTAAAACAAAAAAGCAATAAAATTTGAATATCAAAATTTTGATCTACAAATAACACATCTGATTTACCATATATGTGTACTACGTAGAGTCACTTCACTTAGCTGTCATTGGACATTTAACTTGGTGTGTCTGAGGCTCAATGAAGGATCTTACACAAAAATCGCTCATTAATGAAAACAAAATTTAGTTCTTTACTCTACTCATAATATTTGAAACCATGTTTTTGACTGAACTATATTTTTATACAATAACGAATACTTTTAGTATTTTGAAACATAGTAATATTTATTAGAGGAACCTTAAATATTGCCCGCTACCAAATTGTGGTCAGCAAGAAACACGTGGAAATTCTCAGATCCTTTGTATAACGTTTAACCTTTTTAAAGTTGATGTGCATCAGATCGCAGGCGTTGTCATACTCAAAATGTATTACTGATACTAGGAGTTATATCGTATTTCTGAGATAAGGCTCATAAATCACAATAAACACAACAAATCGACTTACCAGCTCCTACTTTCACTTTAGCCGAATATCGCATGACAGACCTCAGAAATAAACTACGCTGAGTGATTATAGTTCTTAATTTTCGTGCAATATTTTTCAATATTATATGACATTGTCCTACATTTGTAGGATTAATATGCTTATTTGATAAAAGGTAATTAATAGCCTTACCTGCAAAAGAAATAACAGACGTTAAATTCAGTCGGAACTGCTAAAACTGGGCGCGTATTAATTTATCTGTCCATTGTAAAATCGAAGACGGAGCATTCCCTGATATGACGTAAACATCGATGTTACTTTTATAATAAACAATATTAAACATTTAGATCGAAACATTCTAATAGCTGGAGATGTTTTACGAAATATCTCTCTAATTGCTTTGTGTAATCGGGGTACTAGAGACATCAGATTACAGAAATAGTCAGTTGGTTTCAATACCGGAATGGCAGCCCCCAGATTTCGCATGGCGGACATGCCTAGTTGAAGAAAAACAGACAGTTATGGAAAAAGTACGCACAGAATTGTTAGGAACGAAACAAATAGTTGTACCCATGACGTTCAACTATCTGCACATATACAACAAATGTCATGTTATTGTTTTGTTAGACCTGTAGCTGTGCAGTCCTGCAAGTGTAATATGCACATTATTGCTGCATGACACTGCAAGTGACAATCAAACTGCATACATATCAAGACAGCATTCCCATGGAAGGTGTCATAGGTCAGTTTTCAAGAGTAAGCAAGAAGTATTTATTAAGATATTGAGATTTTTATTTCGTACGAGTTTCACTTGGATGAACACAAAACCAAACCCTTAAGCTAACACTAAGTCCTTTACACGCGACATTACCCGTAAAGCTCCAATTTTCGCCGTAAATTAACATTTTTATAGGACATGTTTTTTTTTTCTCATAAAAAAAAAAAAAAAAAAAAAACAGATTAGAGCAATTTCCTGGTTACTGCCAATTTTATTTATAAAACCGGTTCTACCCTATAACCTTAGAATGGGTCAACCTACACCACGTGTCTTGAATTTAAATCACATTAACATTAGTAGGGGTGCAGCATGTGAAATGAAAAAGTTATGACGTCTGGCTTTTACAAGCTCATAAAATCATTATTACAGTGTGATAAATATTCTATACAAAAAGAATCTTCTATACACATATTAAAGAATAAGCAATCAAATCTTTACATCCATATTGGCATTTTTTTTTATTTCTTTCAATATGCATGTACACATTTAATAATTCTACAAATCAAGGAGGGGGGGGGGGTCCGAACCCCGCACCCCACCCCCACCCCCACCCGAACTGCGCATGCTCTTCTTTTTCCCCTAAGCGGGGGACACAAATTCTCTGAATTAGCTTGTTCATTGTTAAATTTGCTCAGCTTGATACTTAGAGGACTAGATCGCCATACCTTGTTCAATGAGGTATCTTATGTGTTACAGCCGTAATCGTAGAATACTAGTAAATGACCCAAAGGTAGGTTACAATGACCTATTTATTTATTAATCATTATCCCATGTAAATTATTGTTTTCATAATTTTCATACTAAGGGACTTCTCAGCATTACTCACTACTATATCTCTCTCCTCAGTCGCATCCCTCAGTATGTCTCTCCCCCTCTTTATCCCTTCTTACTCTCTATTTATCTTTCTCCCTCTCTCAGTCTTTTTTTTTCCTAGCTTGCCCTTTCTCCTCTTTCATTCTCCTTGCTCCTCTCTCTCCTTGCCCACACTCTTTCTCCCCTCTCCCATTTTCTATAAGCATTAACTATCTCATCCTCACAACGTCAGAGGTCCTGAGCCCACTCGTGGCCTTTGGACCCCTGACAAATTTCATTCGATATTCTACGGGCTTGCTTCTCTCATTGAGAAGCACCAATCAGATCGGGGCTTTCATAAGTTGATATAAAACGTAAACAGAAAGTAGGCAGTTGACACTTCAGTGCACATGTTATAGGTTTGTTTAATTGTCAGCGAAAGGTTTAGTGTGATTGGTCACAATCAAGATTTATAATTTCCCCAAAAGACGTCGCTGCAGTCAGCCCGTAGAATATCGAATGTAGGGGTCCAACGGCCACGAGTGGACTCCGGACCTCTGACGTTGTTTTTCTGGGGCTTGCCCCCCCCCCCCCCCCTTCCCCTTTGGAGAAAAACAAAAACAAAAAAAACAAACAAACAAAAAAAGTTGCTACGGGCTGGATTTAGTTATCCGCATTTCAAGAAACTTCTTGACAGAATAGGTTGTAACAAGATGCTATGCTGTTGTGTTCACAAGTGGTCAGTTTGGCTTTTACAGTCCTTTTTAAGGCACAATAAAGATTGAAAGTAGCTGATAATCACAATTTCTCAAATTTTACTGTCCATTACAATGGCAACCAGCACAAAAATTTTATTTATAAAAGTTTCAACTATGATCAGCAAAGCTTCGTCAAAATCGGTGACCATGCTAGTCAAACACGTAAAAGTTGTTACAGAGAGAAAATGTTCTGAAAATGTCATTGGACTATTTTTTTTAATTCATTTTTGAAACCAAGAAAATAGTTTCACGTTAATGAAGAATTTTTTTACTACAGTTTATTCAGTTTAAAAGTTTTATTTCCTTTTAATTTGGAATTGATATTATGACTTTTTTAAAATGTGATTTTGTTTCCTTCAGTCGAAATATGAAACATCATTTTTCAATTTTGAAACTTTTTTATCAATGTTTATTCAGACATTTTATAGATTAATTGAAACTGTTGCAACTGGCCTGGTTTACATTTTGGCAAAAAATTTTATGAAACTTTTGATGATGTGCTACACGACCCTCGTTAGATTGACAAAAAATTAATATCCGAATTTCTAATCTAATTTTTGCATGTGTAGCGGTCAGATGGGTTCGATCGCCGGTGGCCAGATATAGCTAAGTTGGTAGAGACTGGAGATTCAGGGGTTCAAATCCTGGTCTGGTCCGTCGCATCTTTCTCCTCTCCCGTTACATTTGGTGCCGTGCCATGCCCTGGAATTGACAGGTGGAAGACCTTCCAGGGAAGAGCCTGGGTTGGTGTCTTCGGGGAAGGGGCGGGGGGGGGGGGCTTTAAGGAAGGAGGAATATGGCGGTCAGACGGATTCGATCGCTGGTGGCCAGATAGTTCAGTTGGTAGAGCACCTGACTGGAGATTCAGTGGACCTGGGTTCGAATCCCGGCCTCAAGACCATAAACTGAAAAAAGTCTTAAGTCAAAATTTCAAATCCACATAACTTTTGAAATAATTTTGATAACAGAACAAAATTTTCATCATATGTTTATATTGGAATATTATACAAACCTGCAAAATTTTAAGTATGTATTTTGAATAAAACTCAGGTATTAAAAATCAAAATTTTGACTTAAGTCTGTTCTCAGTTTATGGTCTCGAGGCCCGGTCTAGACCGTCGCATTTTTCTCCTGTATATGATATATGTACATTCGAAGAATACCACTTTTACCGGAAATAAGAAGAAGATATAATATTAGAGAAATATATCTTTATTTCAGGCGGGGGCCCACTGTTTACATCCCATTCCCATTGACTTTAAGCCCCGCCCCACTTTCGAAAGCTTTTCTAAAAATACATGAGCGCAGAGACGTAGCTTTCTCTCCTTCTGCTGTGTTAGCTGCAGATATTTTTTTTCCGAAGAGCTACAATTCTGCAGCTAGGTCGATGTATTTTATCAAACTCAACCTATATGTGAAGGAAAAAAGTACCTCAACGCGCTCACAGGTACTTGGGTCTTGGTTTATAAATATGTATGTACCTTATTGATATGTAAAAAAAGTACTTTTTTTACATATCAATAAGGTACATGCATATTTATAAACCAAGACCCAAGTACCTGTTGGCCTAATGGGGGAGGGGGGGGGGGGGGGGTTCCTGTCCCCAAGCACCTGTGAACGCGCTCAATTAATGTGATTAAAACTTCCGAAAATCCAAAAGGTCTTCCCCATTATAAACTATTCTTCAGTTGTCGTTGTTTGAAAACTATCAAAATAATTGTGGATTTATTACAATTCTTCGTCAACATATAGACCCTTGTGAGAAGCAGAAAAAATAAACACTGGCCAGTGTGGGGGTCGAACCCACGACATTCGCGTTATTAGCACGACGCTCTAACCGACTGAGCTAACCGGCCGTTATATTATGTGAACTATCTTTTCATCAGTACAAATTGCCTTCTTGTCCGAGGAAATCCGATTGCATATTGATACATTAAGAGTATGAAAACGCCAAAGTATTCCGATATAACAATGGCGGCGCCCTGCATAAAAATTTGCAATGTAATTTTGCGATCGATTTCCAGAACAGGTATAAAATGTTTCAATTAGGATAAGAAAATGAAAATATCTGTATTTAGTCATGCCATTTTATTGTACCTCAATATACGCATTATACATTGCGGATATGCTGTTTTTATTTATTGTGTAATCAGCATATCTCGAATTTCCTCAATTATCCTCTAATGGTTCGTAAACCTTTTACAGTAACACTGTCGATCACATCAAAGGTATTTTCTTTGTTGGATGGCATTTGCTTTAAAAACAAGTTTTCTAGCGGTGAAATGGTTGAGTACACCAAAGTAATGCTCTTTATGTAAGTTTTTAAAACAACTGGCAACAATTGACTTGATTGAAAACTCCAGATCTGTAGTTAATGAAACAAGTTAGAAGTTACAAGTTAGGGCCAATTTCCTGTTATATGTGTTGTAAATAACTGGACATGTAAGGAAGAGGATTGTTTTGAACAGGTCAAAATTGCATTCTTTTAAAAATAAATAATGGTATCTTAAACATGTGTATACAGGCTAATGTGTAGTAATGGAAAACACTTCTGAAACCATTCATATAAATAATTTCCTTTGGAGAGGAATGACATTGCAGTGATTGTAAAAAGAGAGAGAGAGAGAGAAATTCATAGAAGCAAAATCAATACAGATTCAAAGAACATAATAATATGTTTAACGGTTTGACCATTGGGGTGAGCGCAGTTGTACCACCAAAAAATTTACACACTAGCTTACACTTGTAACCTTGATCCATCTCTTCAAACCTCAAACCACACGAGACACATTCTAGACTGTGACGTCACATGTCGTCTGAATTTACAGAGACAGCCAAGCGTCATGTTAAATGAGACTAAAGGCCTAGTGCAGTTTTTAACAAAATACATTGTAGAGTATAGATGCAATTATGCAATTATTTTTGTTTCTTTTAAGCTCTCTGAAAACTACTTGGTTTTATATTTTATATTATTTTTAAATACGCCATTATCACATCGAATCCTGGTAGTGAGGGAATTCTGAGAAGGTTTCACACGAAAAGAACAAGGTTCACTTAGGGCCTTTTTTGGCCCTGTGAATTTCTGAAAAAATGAAACTGCTTAGTTTTAGATGAAAATATATCAAATATCATTTAGACCCTTGGTGACTGCGTATCTATCAAAAATGACGTAATTTTCTGGCTAGTCAATGCATTATGACGTCATGTATTGCGTCATTTTCCCCATATCCTGAAAAACTCTTCAGAAAACGGCCAATATTTAAGTTATTTTTCAGTATTTCATATAGAGCGCAACCTCTGATCTAAAATATGCAATTATTAAATGATAAAAATGTTTCTGAGCATTAGAAAACATGTTTTATTTTTTGGATCAAGGTGTGCGCTCATATTATTTTTCTTTGCTGAAAGTACTCAAATTAACCTGTTTTCTTTAAAATTTGAGAACATTGCAATTTCATTAAGCCTGATTTCCAATACCTGGACTTTCAGGGGGAAAAATATCATAGGAAATGAAAGTACAAATAAGTCTCTACTTTATGTTAATGTTTGAAATAGAACATTAAGTGTTAGTTAATAAATTGGTATATCTACAGGGCCATTTTAAGCACAAAGTGAACCTACTAGCTCTTTGCATGACGTATAATATATGTCATTCCGAATTTCCTGTATTCTTACTTGATAGTCTATTGAACTCACTTTGTGAGCAGTGCTCGCTATAAAATTAATATTCCTTGTTATTGTATTAATGAAAATACAAATTACATTAAAAATAGACTTTCATTTTATATTTCCAATTAAATCTGCATACATGCACTGTGGAACTGATCAGGTTGAATGGTTTCAATTAGGATCTCACCATAATTAAATGTATTTATGAAATTGTGGTCCAGGGGTCAAGTCACATTCAGGCTATCTTTTGGTTACCTATATCTCTACTTGGGACTCCCAAGCCAACCCCTTGAACTGAAGGACTGAATAAGAGCTTTGGGTGTGTTTGGGGAAAAAGTAGTGGATTTGACCAGGTTGATCAACATCATTTCCTCAATGCAAAAAAGCATCCACTTCTCCCTTCCATTTACACTGTTGTATGTGAATATTGTGTAAAGAAAGAGGAAATAGTTTGCTGGTTTTAACTACAAATGACATGTATTTACTTTTAACTGAAGTGCTGATTTTTATACATGCCTTTTTTCTTAAAATGTTACTCCTAGGGGCAAACTCTTTGATTACAAGAAGATAGACTAATATTACGGTATTTTCTCCAATACACTCATTTAGAAAAGTGGAAAATCCTGTGGAATTAAATCCAGCAAACTATTTTCTCTTTTTCAGATAGCTTTTAAAGAAGTGTCCAAACTCCACATCATTTTTCCTATACATACATCATCCCACCATTATCATTATGGAACACCTGATGGACATGGAAATCATGGAGAAGGCTACTGATGCAGAGACTGCCCTCAAACAGATAAAGGAGTGTATCCAATACAAGGACAGTAAGGGCCTAAAGACAGTGATACTGGAACACAAACTCAAGGACCAGTCTGTATTCTGGGAAATCGCATCAGAATTGACTGCCAATTTGACAGAGGAAAACTTGGAAGCATCTGAGTATTTCTTTGAGACTTGTCAGAGGTGCTTGAACTACATTATTGAAAATGGCAACCCAAAAGAGCTGCTCCTAGCCATTCTGGAGCAGGCTGATTCTTTCAAAGATGACCAAAAATTTAAATGTATTATGGAGAGTGTGCAAAAGATTTTGTTGAAGTTGCCAAGTAAACGTCATCATTCATTGGATATCACCTTGGAAACTCTCTCAGCTCATATAGAGGCTCTCCCAGAGCCCAAGGACCATAATCTTGATAAAGAGGAAAGAAAGTTGCTGGAGATGGATTCATCTGTCATGAGAGCTACAGATGTAGTCCTGTGTTATCTAGAGTTCTTAAGTCCTTTTGTGGAAGAGGTTTCTATGAAGAATCCTCAAGTCAGCTTCTGTAAAACTAGTCCACAAGTCCAACTTCTGATGAAGCACTTAATGAAGCTATTGTCACATCCACTCTTTCATCTGGATATGACATTCAGACCCAAGGAACAAGAAGAGAAAGAAAAATCCTATAGCAGAATCTGTGCAGAAAGACTGATTGACCATTTATCTCAACTCTGTCCAAACTTTTTTGCTCTGATTGAACAGGAAATGGAAAAGAGGAGTTGGAGAACCAAACAGAAGACAAGTGAGGAGAACGATGAAGAAATGGAGGAGGACAGTAGTGACAAAGTGAGAGATTGGAAGGAGGATAAATTGATTCCTGAGAAAAGCTTTGCTTGTCTAGCATATTTAGTCATCGCTGAAGGACTTGGTGCTGATAACATGCCCTGTGTTTACAGCCACAAGTTCATGCTCCGGTTTCATCTGACTTTCATTAAGTTATTCTTGGAGGATCAGCACTCTCTAGTCAAACTGAAAGGAGTCCTTCTTCTAGAAAAACTTATTGCTGTCATCCCACCCTTCACCTTCAAACATTATGAATTAGACAATGATTATTACAAAGACATTTTGAATTCACTGATATCAACCATGACACATTGCCAAAATAAGGATATACGCATAGCCTGTGTTCCAATATATTCTACATTCTTTAGCATGTTTACACTTCGAGGACGATTTCGATTATATGAAATTGTGTTCAACACATGTAAGTTTTCTGGAGTTGTTGGGTACACCTTAAGTTTGTATAAAGAGCAAGTGGACACTTTGCTAAAACAAGGAGAAAAGTGTGAGAATCTCTTTTTTGGTGAAAACATGATCAAAATTTTCAAACTTGTTTCTGTAATCCCAGATGGAGCCACCACTGATTTATTGGAGAGTTCCGATAGAATTCTCTCTGTTCTGAACTTCATTCGGTACTTAGTTTTGAGAGATAATCCTGCTTCAAATGCTACAGGTTTTTGGGACCTGTATCCGAGACTGGATAAGGAATTTTTTGAGCCACTCAGACAAGCTATAATTCTATCCAAAGGCCACTACAACTTGGATTTAGAGGATGTCAAGAAAGGAAATCCTTTACCCTCGGAGGAAACTGAGTTCAAGGTCAATGTTGGTGGAGAGACTTTAGGGGCTGTTTCAAAAGAGCAAAGGATTCAAGTTATCGAGTCTGCTCTAAACACTTTTGATATGATGGACAGTATACTTAGCCGTATTATTGAATTGGCAGATGGTCAGAAAAGGATGTTGAAAGAAAATCAAGCTGATAGTTAAATTGACTTTCTTTTTGTGAAACAAAATTAAATTATGCAATGGAGATCGTGTCCTGATCACATGATACAAAAAGCAAATTTAAAGTTAAGAAGAATTTTAAGAAATTTTAAAAGTAATAAAGGTGTATTAATACTGTCTGACTGAAAGTGCTCATTATCTGCTTTATATAAACTTGTATTGTTAGAAAAACTGTGGTATGTGTGCTTTAAGAGCTGAATATTTTCAATAAAACAGTTTTAAAACTTCTCAATATTGTGTATCTGTAATAATTAAATTGTGTTTATATATTCCAACTCCAAAAATACAAATATGTTAACGTTATAATGAATATTTAAAAAAAAAATCACTTTTTTTTTGGTTAATTTATTTGTGATTCATTGAATGCAAAGGTGGATCCAGTTGAAGAAGGGAGTGGGGGGGGGGGGTCTGAATTTTTAATTTTTTAGATGTAAAGTGATTAAAAATAACTAGGAACCACTCGTAGGTTCTTAATTAATAGAAGTCTTATATGATCATATGAAGGACAGTTGCTTGTCCATAAGATGAGAAGGTGTAGATGTGTCATTCTCAATAAATGTTAAAACAAAAGTGTTTTAGGTGTCAGGGGTTATTTCCATGACACCAATAATACTGAATGAATGTTTATAATGATTCAATAAAATAATAACTTTACAGAGGTTATACAAATCGTTTACAGCTCTGACTAGATATAACAGACATGCTGTTAGACAGATGTGTACCACCAATGGAAACAAAAATCCACCACACAGCAACTTTATAAATCAAGATTCTGCCCAGGGCGGAAGTGGGAGGTCTGAATTTAATGCCCAGGGCAGTAATCAGGGCAGTACCCAGCAAGCAGGTTTCTCAGAGGAGGAGTAAGTACAAGTTGTAGGCTCCATCCTACACTGTGTGTTATCTGTCTCCTTAGCATGTTGAAACATGATTTATAGTGATCTGTTACAAGTTAATCTAGTTTGGCAAGTGGAAACTATGACTGTCTACTGGAATTTCAATATTTCTCCTTATTAAGGAGGAGAATATATATTGAGAGGAAACTTTGTTATAAACAAATTACTGTAATGTTTCCCTGTTTATAGCAAAAAAAATAGATAGGAAATAAAATGTATCTTGTACAGATCACACAGTACGTATAAAATGTTTTTAGCTTTATACAACTTCAACAGAAAATGAATGAATTATTACATATAGAAGGCAATAAATTAATGAGCTAATATATGTTTAACAAACATAAAGTTAGTTTCTTATTTTTTTTTTAGATTACGGACTTCTGATGAATATTCTGGTGAGCAAGAAGATGAGGAACTGCCAGAAGAAACAGAGGAAGAGTTCCAAACCAAACAAGCTATACTGAAAGCCTCCCTACCATTTGTACATGACCATGGGTGGACACGAAATGCCTTAGCAGCTGGTTAGTTTCAGTGAATCTGTAACATTGGTCATTTCGAACAATCTCATCATGAGTGATAATTCCCCACCATATATTTTTTAGCTCACCGCAACGAAGTTGGGGGAGCTTATGTAATACCCTCGGCGTCGGCGTCCCAGGTTAAGGTTTTTGGAGCAGTTTTCTTTTCAAGTACTTCTATGGCCTATATTAGTCAGAGATGCATGGAGGATGCTTCTAGTGTGTTTTATTGTACCAGTCAAGGTTTCAGATGCTGCAATTTCAGCTAAAGAATGACCAGGTTAATGTTTTTGGAGCAGGTTAAAGTTTTTGGAGCAGGTCTCATTTCCAAGTAACTATAAGCCCTATATTGACCAAACTTGCATGAATGATACATCTAAGGATGCACACTACTGAACTTGCTTCGGATGCTGGATCTGACCTACATTTTCCGGATGAGTGACTAGGTTAAAGTTTTTGGAGTAGATCTCATTTCCAAGTAACTATAAGCCCTATATTTACCAAACTTGCATGGATGATACATCTAAGGATGCACACTACTGGACTTGCTTCTGATGCTGAATCTGACCTATATTTTATGGATGAGTGACCAGGTTAAAGTTTTTGGAGCAGATGTCATTTCCAAGTTTCTATAAACCCTATATTGACCAAACTTGCATGGATGATACATCTTAGGATGTACACTACTGGACTTGCTTCGGATGCTGGATCTGACCTATATTTTCCGGATGAGTAACAAGGTTAAAGTTTTGGAGCAGATGTCATTTCCAAGTAACTATAAGCCCTATATTGACTAAACTTGCATGGATGATACATCTAAGGATGCACACTACTGGACTTGCTTCGGATGTTGGATCTGACCTAAATTTTTGGCATGAGTGACCAGGTTAAAGTTTTTGGAGCAGATGTCATTTCCAAATAACTGTAAGTCCTATATTGACTAAACTTGCATGGATGATACATCTAAGGATTCACACTACTGGACTTGCTTCGGATGCTGGATCTGACCTACATTTTCCAGATGAGTAACCAGGTTAAAGTTTTTGGAGCAGATCTCATTTCCAAGTAACTATAAGGCTTATCTGAACCAAACTTGCATGGATGATGCATCAAGGGACAAACAATCTCAAAACTTGCTCCGGATGCTGGATTTGACTTACATTTTCTTGATGAGTGACTAGTTTTAAGTTTTCAGATAAGTCTATTCCCAAGTAACTGTGAGCCCTATCAGACCAAAATTGCATAAATGTTGCATCTAGGGATGCACACTCCTAGATTATTAGTTTAGTGTGGGACTTTGCCTTACTTAAAGACAACATTCGTTGAGGTAGCTCTGTAATCTCTGATTACCTATGTTTTAAAAGACAAATTATGGGCCAAGTTAAGTCTTATTCTTTGCCATGAATAATGATTAATTCATTAATTTATTCATGTTTTCAGGATCATGGTAAGTTGATCAAGCACCAAAAGTGCAATATTTCATGAAAAATTCATTTTACTTCTTGAAATCTACGGACGTGAAGGAGGCAGTTTAAGTTTGTTTGTTTATTTTGAAGGTGGGGGTAGCAAAACCTTTTATTCCTTGACAAACAAAAAGAAAAAAAATCATCAGCATTTTTACTGAGGGGACATATGTAGATTAAGGGTTTATTAGTGAGAATATTTTTCTGAATTCTTGAAAACATTTTTTACTTTTGGTTGGTCAAATAATTAGCCTAGGAAAATTTTTACTGTGCAATTTGAATGATTGTACATTGCATACATTTTGTGCCTAAGAAAAATATGAGGATTTTCAAGTCCATTCTTGATTTATTTCTATTAATGTAAAACAAAGTTTTAATCCATTAAATTTGATATATTTTAGGAGCAGAATCTATTGGTATGCCATCAATAGCCCATGGAATGTTTCCTCGGGGTGGAGTGGAATTAGTGTTTTATTTTTATGAAGAATGTAATAAAGAATTGTCATCCATATTGAAACAGAAAGTAGAAGGGATGAAAGAGAAGGGAGAGTAAGCATCTAAATCTGATCAAAAGAACTACCATATTTCTCCCAATAAGCTTCCACAGTGCTCAGAAAATAGCCTGTAGGAGCATGGACGCTTATTGGGATGAATATGGTATTACTGTGTAATTTTTATTGACAAGAATCATTAAAGGCACATAGAAAATTGCTTATGCGGAAGCTGAGATAATTGTCTTTAGGATGAATATTTTGTTTCTTATTTCAGAAAGCTAAAAACTGGACCTTTCATACAAGATGCCGTAGAAACAAGATTAAAAATGATAACACCGTATATTGACAAATGGCCTCAGGTAAGTAATACATGCTGATCACCACACAGTTGTAAAATACATATATTCTTTGTAACTGAAATAAGATGCAGTCAATTTTTACATAATCTAAAGTGTCTTAAAAGTAAATATTTTGATGTTGTAGGCCATGGCTATACAGACACTGCCCCAGAATGCGTTTCAGGCATGGACTAATTTAGGACGCTTAATGGATGATATATGGTACTATGCTGGAGATAAGTCTAATGATGTAAGTGCATGTACTGACAATGAAGTTGTGTTTCTGCAGGAAATTGAACTCGGGACCTCGGGCTGTTTGTTCAAGTGCCTTTTGCAATCATTAGTTTAAACTTAAATACGTGTATAAATGTCAGGCAACACCTTGTATGAAGGTTGTCCTAAAATTGAAAGTTGGAAACAGAAATGAATTGAAATAACAATACAAATGTGTAAAAGAGCACTTCAGTAATGTTCATTATACACATATTTACTTGTACATACATGTATAAATACATTTACATAAATACATAAGTTAGAACTATAGTCTTGAAATACATTTGTTATGTCTGACATGAAATTTGCAGCAACTTGAAATGGGTTTGATTTATCGACAAAGGATTGGAAAAAGATGCTAATAATCTGAAATTGTTTAATTAATTTGTGGACAGTTTAATTGGTACACTAAGAGAGGGTCGTTAGCGGCTGTTTACAAGAGTACAGAGATCTACATGATCCAGGATAAATCGGAGGATTATGCTGACACCTGGCTGTTCCTGGAGAATAGGCTGGAAGATGTGGTCAAGGCTGGACATCTGACCAGAAATGTAAGATCAAAATAAGATTATGTAAAGGATTATCACTGTTGTAGAAAACACTTATTCTACAGACACCATAAGTGAACTTGTTTAAAGTCAATTAATGTTTGATAATATTTAATAATGTACAATTAAATATGTTTTTGTATAATTTGATGTAAAAAATCCTTTGTAGAAGTTTACTTTGAAAACTATACTTTTGAAATAGCTGGGGGCCTTTTTATTTCATGAATATTTTTAGAGTGTTCTATGAAAATCACACTATATATAAAGTATATAAATGATTAAAATGAAAGATGTTAACCCCCCCTCCCCCCCCCTCCCCTCCAAAAAAAAAATTCTCAGCATCATGCCTTTTCTTGTGACATTCCAGCTTGACTATCTGACTGCATTTTCTTTTTCAATTGTATTTTTGCATCAAATGTGGGTTTTTTTTTCAGCTTCAGCAGACTGGCACGGTGCTATCAGAGGGTGCTATGGGGATGTGTATAATGGTAGGTAAAAGTATGACTTTGTTTAGGTCTTGTATATAATTTTATTTTAACTTGGTAGACCCCCCCCCCCCCCCCCCCCCAAAAAAAAGAGAGAAAATCTTATGTTTATAAGTTATGATAAGTTTAAGATAATTCTATGTCAGTTTTATAAAAATTTTTTTGTGTGTGTGTGAAGAAAAGAAATGCACAGTTGTGAAAGTATTTTCACATACAATATTCATAATTATTTTTGTGAAAAGGAATTTTTTTTTTTTTTTTTTATTAAATGATATATTTATTTTCAATAACATACAACAAAATATTGAGGCAAAACTTCCGCAGAAGCCCTCTGTATATACCTCACCTGGGGTGCCAGGAGCTCCCTGGATCGGTATTTTTATTATAATATCTAATTTACAAAATAATATACATTAAATGAGAAAAAAAAAATTACATGTACGTATACATATCATTGCTGACATTTCATTTCTATACATATGCTTATATATCATTGTATAATATTTTTTATAAATAAAATAAGTATCATAGATGAAATATCTTAATTTATATACTTCTCAAAATACATACACAAAGAAAATCGTATTTGGTCAGCTAACTTTTTTAAAAGGTGGTAATTTAATTGAACACTTTTTGCATCCTTTGCTACTAAATAATACTGATATAATGATGATTTTAAAAAAGATAACATTGCATGTGCATTTACATTTTCATTTTGTAATCTACATTTCATTTTATACTTGTATATTTTGTAACCTACAATTGATATGACATTATTAAAAATTTTTGTTGTTTCGTTAAACTCATTAAAAAATCCTACAACAATATTTTTCCAGGATATATTTAATTTCAATATTTTTGATATTTTTTCCCATAATCTTTTTGAATCCGAACATTCTAAAATTAAATGTTCAATATATTCTACTTGTCCACAACTTGTACAATTTTTCCCCACCTCTTTATTCCATTTACTTACATTAGGATTACAGTTCAGCTGATTATGTAAAAGTTTAAAATTGAATTCTGCTATCTGTTTATCAAATACATTTAATATCTTAGCTGTATAAATATTTTTCCATTGACCATTTGTTATATTGAATTCTTTTGACCACTTCGTTTCCATTATTGGCTTTTGCTTCTTTTTAGAAAGTAGAATTTTATAATAAAATCCTGATTTTTCAAATTCTGGGTTTCTACTTTTTCCTTGAAAATAAAAATAGGGTTTTTGTATATTAGTGTTTTTTACATTACAGTAATCTATATTTAGCTTTTTAATTGCTTTTTTCATTATTAGATATTCACATAAGTAATTACTTTTTGATTCAATGATCTCTTTTACATCCGCAATATCTTTCATACCTTCTGTTGTAAACAGATCTTTTACGTATAGAACACCACTTCTTGCCCAGTTTTTTAGATATAGTGGTTTATTGTCGTGTTTAATGAAACTGTTTAACCATAAGTTTTCTGTAATTTTATTACGCGGTGATAACGATTTACATTCGTTAAAACTACAGAAAATATTCTTGTAAAATTTCGAGAATTTGTTTAAAACGTTGAAATCATTCGGATTTATAATATTACTACGTAATAGGTATTCAAAGTTTATTCCATAACTTTTTAATGCGTTATCTAAAAAAATTCTAAGCGTAGAGTTTTCATTGTATAGCCTTTTGATCCATCCGGATTTTACGCTTTTAAGTTTGCATTCGATATCTATTAAACCAAGACCACCCTCATTTATTGGCCTTATAAGTGCATTGCGTTTAATTCTCTCTCTCTTATTCCATAAAAAATTGTAAATAATTTTATTTATACTTTTAATGTATTCGACATCTGGATTTTCGAGAACTGTAAACACATATAATAATTTAGACACTATGAGTGAATTAATAACGGTACATTTTCCGAAAAAAGTTAAGCTTCTTGTTCTCCATGAATCTAATATTTTTTCGAATTCTTTAAGCTTATGCAACCAATTTTTTTCATTATTAGATATTTTGTCGTGTCCTAAGAAAATTCCGAGTGATTTAATAGGTTTATTTGTCATTTTAATTCCTTCTATATCTTCTCGTGTGTTTTTAAGGGGTCCCAAGAGAATACCCTCTGTTTTTTTCTAAATTTAACTTAGTACCAGACATTTTCCCAAAAGATTGTATAACTTTAATAGACGCTTTTAAGGATTCAGTATTTTTCATTGGCAAAGTGCAATCATCTGCATGTTGTAAACATTTTATTTCGTCTGAGTGTCCAATTTTGAAACCTTGTATACTTTCAGAGGCATTTATTTTTAATACCATGATTTCAATAACAAAAAGAAAGAGCAATGCTGAGACGGGACATCCTTGCCTAATGCCTCTTGACATTGTACATTTTTTAGTTAACCAGTTATTATTTTTAACATGAAAATAAGGTTTTGTGTATAAAATTTTTATCCATCTTAGGAAATTTTGAAAAGGAATTACTTTATGTAAATTTTGGCTTAAGATGAAATCTGTTAAGAATTTTTTAGTGAAGGATTCAATTGATTTTCTCCTTTGTATACTTTGTACACATATAATTTCTAGTTTGTAGCAATTTTTTGTTTTGGACACATATCATTGAAGTCTACTTCATTTTTCCTTTACAGACTCGGAACATACTGGGCATGAACAACAGATGACAGACTAATTAAACATTGTAGAAACCTTAAAGTGTTTATTGGTTTATGTTTTAAACATAGACTTTTACCATATCCATTCACTTTCTGCTTGCTGCCATTTAAAATGTGTTACTTGGTATAGTGTACATAGGTCTGTATATTGATTTCGTTATGATTAATGTTTGCGTAATAAAATGTTGTAAACATGTATTTCAATGTCCTAGTTTTGTTTCTGCATAAAGTCACTTTGCCAGATAATAATCTTAATCAGAATTGATCAGCAATGCATTCTTAATGGCTCGTGTGCAGTGAAATACTTAAGAAAAACATGATCCAACAGAGATCCTGTAAATACTGGAACTGCTTATTGGTACGTTAGAAAAATTGATGTATTACATTCATATAGAAAAATTTTCATTACCATACATATATAACGAAATATATGTATGAATAATATACAACTGAAATTGCTCCATTGTGTGAGCGTGGAATTTTTATGCACAAATCTATCTGCAAAGATTATACGTTGATTTGTCCACAGAACTCGTACTTGCTTTTTCAAATGTCTTAAATTTGTTCCAGTTAAATGTAATGAGTGTTTTTAGCAAAGAAATAAACTTGTGTCTGGTTCTTGGTAATACCACTTTTTAAAAAATTAAGTACTGGCTCGTAGCAACATTTTCAAGGGGAAGGGGGGGGGGGGGGGCAGCCTTCAAAAGAATCTGAGAATTAAGCCCCCCCCCCCCCCCACCAATAAAAATGAAAAAAAACAACCCTAAATTGCTAGTCTTCATGGGAACAATTAAAAATGTATATTAATATATATATATATATATATATATATATATATATATATATATATATATATATATATATATATATATATATATATATATATATATATATATAAAATATACATCAAATCACCCCTTAGATGAATTTCTGGATTCCGTTAGCAATCAAAAATCTTATTGATCTATTCCATTGTCACCCTGAGGTGTAAGCCATGTAAATTAAATCACAGTGTCTTCACTTCTGACATCAAAGGTTGACACCTTTATTGAAGTCAATCACAGGATTAACATGAATGAAATTTTTACCTGAGGATAATTTAATCTGTTAATTATGCTAAGACAAATAGGAGTTACATGTACATTATATCTTTTGGACTCTGTCCGTGTACCTTGTTCCAGGCAAAAAAGTATTTCAAAATTACTCTATGTTTATGGATGAACTTCGGAATTGCAATTTCTACTTAATATCTTATCATTGCTCTTCTTTGATTTTAAAGTTAAAAGGACCGGACCCTAAAATTCTTAGAGAATCATTCCCTAGTAGTTGAAACTGTTTCAAATCTGTAACTTTTACGCATGAATGGAGTGTTCAACTTGACAAAATTATCTCTACCAAATAGACAATTCTTTTCTTTCTGGTGCGAGATCCCCTCAAGATGTCATGATTATTTCCAATATTTATAGCATATAATCAGCATACATGTACATGTAGATAAACTATTTGTAAAGACTTAAGTGGACGAAGCGAATGATAAACTGATGGATAAATTGCAATTTTATTAAGGAAAGTCGTTGTTTAGTTGGAACTTTTACAAAACCAGAAAAAAAATTGTGTATCAGTGTATTATGAACTGAACAAAACATGCATTTAAAAAATCGTTTATTTCTGCATGATAAAACAATTTTAATTTATAATTTTCGCACTTTTAAAAACATTTATACTGGCAATTAAATAGTAAATTTTTTTTAATTTTGAGAAATTAGAGAACTTAAAAGATCGTCATAGTTTATTTTAAATTCTCCGAATTCTTAAACTTTAATGTAACAGAAATATGCTAAAATGGATATCGATACTGATAACCGAGACCTGCGGATCACCGTAATATTTTGAATTCGGAATTACTATCACTTCACATAATCGTCTAAAGTCCATTTTAAGACGCCCATTTTTTCACCCATTATTTTAGAATACTTGGACAAAAAGGGCCTATAATCTCACTTTTTTGACATCAGCTGCATAGCTTTATGTTTTGTTTGTTCTTTAGGAGTGCAATTTCGAATTCTCTTTAATTCAATTTTTGATTTTTATATTTCCAAGGTAAATGCATGTAAGAGTATTTTAATTAGTTTTTTCCGACTCAATTTCTTTCATTATCTACTTCATCTGCACTATTATTACTTTTCAAGTTATAAAATTTTTCTTAAGAGATATCAAGTTGGTATTTTTTCTCTTCGTATTTAATTTAAACATGAAATTCAATACTCTATCCATTATCTATAATCTTTGGTCACTTAGTTCATCTTTACGAAAATTTTCACGATCCTCATAAAATTGAGTTTAACAACAAGAGCTGTTTTCACACAGATAGGAAAATCGGAATGTTGTGCTAAAACCATCTCGTGTGAAAACAATTGTTACAAGAATTTAGCATCGAATACAAATCTTTGTTAAAAATTTAGAATGAAATATTAAATATGCCTTTAGGCCCAACAGGTGGCACGCTGGCACTTACGGAAACCTATTATTTAATTAGCGAGATACTGACCAATTACTTTGATTCTATTACTTTGATATCGTTTTTCCCGAGGTAGTAAACAATTTTATTGTATTACTTCAAGGCATACAAAGAAATATTTAAGCACTATGAATGGACGTTAAATCTCATTAATTATTTACACTGATCAGATTTACAGCAACAAACCTTTTCAGAATTAGTTTTAGTTTCATCAAAATGTGGGGTTCAACAAGGTGCGCCTTTCTTGGCTTGATTTTTACGTCAACAATATGCGCATTACCAACACAAGATACCACGATTATGCAAAATGATACTACCACTGCAGCACAAGATTTGGATACCATTCTATCAAAAGAAACTCTTGCAGAGAAACTGGAACGATTATCTCGCTGTTCCGTGACACCAGTTTCACCGACTTTAAGTTCAGACATCAGAGGAAAACTGGACAGTGGAGCAAGATTAATTCACATGTATTTGACGATTGTCAACCATACCGAACCATTCCCCGGGGAACTGAAGTCGGATGTTTATAAACCCCTCCGCTGGACCCGTAGCACAGGGAAGATGGGCCGCGGTCTGATGATGCTGAAGAATACATACAATATTCTGTCTTTTAACACGCTGAACTACGAGGTAGAATACATGTATAACTTTACTTTGACCCAGAATCCACCTGAGTGTTTGTCATCAATGGACATTTACGATGTCCAGGAATATTTCCGCCGATTTCTGTTGAATGACGCTAGAGGCATCATTCCGAACAAGACGGAAAAGTTTCTCGGAGACTCTACGCAGGAAATTTGTAACTTTCACATTAATACTGAAAACGAATTCGACTTTGGTTACTTTCATTATGAATGTTGCCACATGACAGAGAAGATGGAATTAGTTTGTGACAGACTTCTCCCTAATGTCTGGATTATATCCATTATAGTTTGTGTATTTGTTATTAACATTTTAGTCATTCTATTTAGTCCTTACTTTGTACCATCTTCATTTTACCAAGCTCACGAGGGTCCGATGATTTATGAACATCAACTTAAAAGTCCGAAATCTATATATGTGAAAAAGACAACAAATAGAAAAATAGATTCAGAAAATAAAATGCATATTGAAGACATTTCCTCTCAGCACATGCCCCAGTTTCAAGAAGTGTTAAAATCAAATATAATGGACATGGAAACAGTTTATTCGCTGACCATTTCTAAACTTCGGTTTTATGTTCCACCAGGAAAGCTTCTGTCTGCATCCAGCGCACCTATTGGAATATTCAGTACATTGTATAACAGAATATTCTTGTGCAAAGTGGAAAAGGACGAAAAAATTCATTCTTGCTGCAATTCGACAATGAAGCCATCTAAGAGATACAAGTGGCAGTTTTGTCTCCGTCGTGTGATGCATGCGATCCTGCTCCTTTTGGCGATCGTCCCGTGGATAATTCGCGTGTCTCTTTATTATATGTACGAAGACGAAGAATTGTCTGACATGAGGAAAGCAGCGGATGTAAGAGAAATAGAGGCTTACTACGTACAAGCCAGTTTTGCTGTTCGGTACCTGACACCTATTCACGTTGTTTTCATTATTTGTTACTTGATCATTGTTGTGGATTCACTCGTCCTAGGTCTAGTTTTCAATGCATATCTCCTAAAATTTAAACGGATTCTTACCCGGTGTTTCCATGATATGGACGCCTATGTCCGTCACACCACTTTTGAATGGATGCTTATGGTAATGATATGGCCCCTAGAAAAAATTGGCCTGTATGCGCTGCCTTTCATCGTTTTTTACTGGGCGTTAATGATCGTTGTCTTGTCTCCTATGCTTCTGTACTATTTTGTGCCAACCATTAACATTTGGTGCAGACTGTTTCTCCACTGGTGTGCGTATCTCTGTCCTTCGTTTTCATTCTTCGAGAAGCTGTTGATAAAGAGTTTACAAGACACCGATCAGCTTCCAAGCAGACTACCCTGGAGGAAACGGTTATTTGAATTTTTCATCGTCAACATGTGTCTGCTTACTATGTCCTCCTACCTCTTTCTCGCTGCTGAGTGCATCACGTTCTTTGTGGAAATTCTTGTTTACACTTTGGTGGGAATAATATTGAATGCATCAGTTACTCTGAAGTATGTCTCTTTGGCACTAATGCTAACCCTATACGCACGAGACAGCTTTGGAAATGTGACTGCGGTTTATACATCATACAATGAATCTTTAATCAATGCATTACGAAAGATTGAAGAGAAACAAGTAGATGACTTAGGAATTTGTGATAAAAATGTAGCTCTAATGGCGAGAGATGTAGGAGATGTGACTGAAATCCCACCTGAGCTGATTGTAGAAGAAAGCAATTTGAAATGGGAACTCCACAAAGTGTTTATATTCATTGACAAAAAGATGAACGCTTTCCGAATTTCCAAAAACTTTTTCCAGAACACAATTCATATGGATGTGGACGGATGTCCCGGGTACCTGTTTCCAAACTTCATGAAGGCCCTCCGTCAGCTTCTTTTGATTGTTCTTTTTCTGATGTTCGTTTTCCTGGTGGTCAGTGCCTTTGGTGACCAGTACGAAGTGTCCGGAGTCAGTCAGATGTTGGCCACGCTGGTTGGTGGATTCCTGCCATGGATATTTAATAACATCCTCTTCCGGAAAAGTGTTCACTCTGATTTCATCAACACAG